CCCTGTGGTGTTTTTGGGGCCCAGGCTGTTGGTGTGTTTGGGGCCAGGGCAGCCTGTGGGGCTGTTATTGATGGCTCCAGGAGCCCATTATTAACCAGGAGCTCTGAGGATGCCTCAGTAATGCTGTTGTGCTGCCATCACTCACCTTTTTAGCCAGCAGGCACTGCAGGCAGGGTGGGAACGGCTTCATCCTTCATACATCTGTTGAAATGTGGTGTGATTTGTTGGTGTGTGTTCATTTTCTGTGCTTAGCTTATGCACATCTTGGCCTGAGCAGGATGGAGTGGCTGCTGCCATGGCAGGGCCCCCTGTCCTGGGGGATTTCTGCTCCCTGGAGCAACATCAGGAGTTTGGGTTTCAAACCCAGCAGTTCTGTGTTCCTCTGTAGGACTTCTGCATTATTTGGCTTTGCTTTTTAATTCATTTTCCCTGGCAGGTTTGTCAATCCCACCTGCTGCACAGAGGTTTCCCCTTATCCTTTTCTATTCCTTGGCTCTTCAGATTGGCCTGTTCTGGTCTGTGGGTGTTTAAGATCTCTTTAAACTTTTAGGCCTCAGCTCTTTCTCGTGGCAAATCCCTGTTTCATCTCACATTTCCCTGCTATGATTAATTTATCAAGACAAGCTGTTAAGTGCTGTGTGGAAGAATCACGTTAGAGGCTTCAGGGTGGGAGGGGAGAAGCTCACAAGAAGTGTTGAAGACTGTGGGATTATTCATGGGAATTGAAAGTATTTTTGGAAGGAAGTCTCTACTGCTGGCATTTTTTTGAATGGATGAATTCAGGGGAGCTTTGGAACAGCATTAACACTGCAAGTTTGTGCTCTTCAGTTTTGTTGTTTTATCCAGCCAGTCTAGGCAGCAAGGAAAGCTTGTGGATTTGCTCAGATCCAGGATTCTCTGGTTAGAAGGAATGTTATGGAGCCAGTCCAGTACAGTGGCAGGAAATACAGAACATTATTCATGGGTTTAGTTAGCTTTGCTTAGCCTTGTCAGAGCAGTGGCAGATCCTTTTTGTGGTGTTGGCTGAAGCTGCACAAAGCTTGGGTGGTTTGTGGCTGTGGAGTTGTGGGGACTTCTGATGTTTGAGGTGTTTTTAGGTGGGTGTCAGGAGGTTCTGTGGCAGTGTAACTCTGGTCACCCTTCATAGGGAAGGCTTGCTGACCTTTACATGTTCCACAAGGTGCCTGGCTACAGTTTAAGCTCTTTGAATTTTGCATTTTTACCAGAAGGAGAAACTTCTGGTACAAACGTGAAACTGGGTAATGGGAAAAGGTTTCCTGAGTTTCTCTGAGAAGTCAGCATTTCTCATGTGTTTGGGTGCCAAAACATGTGCTGCAAATGGGAGAATGGGAGATGGTGCCTATCTCTTCTTTCACCTTTTATTTATGTGTGTGAAATCGTTGAATGCTGAATATTTCTGTCCTTGTCAGCACAGAATTGCAGGATAATCCAGGTAGGACTGCTGGGGATGCTGTGGTGCAGCCTGAGGGTGTGTTTGCAGGTTCACACTCCTTTGGGGGAGAGCACAGCTGACGTTTCCCCCCTCTCCAAGCACTTCTCCTTGTCTGTGTTGCCAGGACCAGCTGTGTGGCCGTGACCCCACGCTGACAGACGAGCTGATCAATATCCTCACAGAGCTGACCCAGCTCAGCAAGACAACCAACGCCAAGGTGGCGCTGAGGGCACGGCAGGTGAGGCTCTGCCCAGGTGTGA